CTGGGTAATGCAGGGGCGGCCCCACAGCATGTGGGTGCAGGGGGTGCCAGCACACAGAGAGGGGCTGTCAGAGAGGGCCGTGGGGCTCCCGGGCATGTGCCTTCCCTGCGGGGCCAGTGCCAGGTTACACATTTTGGGGGAACCCTCCTCCTCAGGGGATGCAGTGGCGCTGAGCTCAGAGGTGTTTTAGTGCCCCGCGCGGGGGAAAAAAGCTCCCCCCAATCCTACGTGGAGCAAAGACCCCACCTGGCGTCTCCCCTCGGTAAACTGAGGCACGGCACGGGCAGGGCTCCAGCTCTTCTCCTGCAGCAAGGGCAGATGCGGAGGCTGGCAGGGAGCCCGGGTGTCCTGCGTCCTAGTCCTGCGTCTCCCTCTACTTCACCCCTCTGACCGCAGCAGGACGAGCGGCGGAGCTTTTGCGCCTGCTGAGCGTGCCCAGGTGTCCTACCGCCCGCTCAGGGAAATTTCCATGGGCGACCGAGGCAGGGAGTGCGGCTGGGCTGCTCTGACACCGAGAGGGTACCCAGCAGCGCCTGCTCCCCTCCCCTGTCAGCCCCCAGCACACCCCCATCCAGAGGCAGGGGCTGCCGAATCCTGATGGCTGCAGACGCAGCCTCCCCTGTCCGCGGCACAGCCGGCTGAGGGGCTGACTGGGGAAGGAGGAGGGGGGAGGGAGGAAGGGAGACTATTTTTGGCACCGGCAAAAAATATCTGAGGAGGCATCTTGCAGCGTTATTCATCTGCAGGGCCGGGGCTCTCGGCACCACAACAGGACGCCTGTCGTAATCCCGGGCCCCGCGCGTGCTCACACACGTGTGTTTATGTACACACCCCGCGCTGTGTACACCGTACACATGTGGGGACACGGCGTTCACATGTGGGGACCCACCCACTGCCCTCTCCACCCTGTGGGATTGCCCTGCAGCGCTCCCACGGGTCACAGCCTGGGCCCCGGGGCCGTGGCACAGCTCCCCAAGATCCAGAGCTCCTGCCACCCTGCCCGGGTGGGTATCCCAGGGGCAGGATCAGCCCCGGAGCACAGCCTGCCCCACGGGATGCTGGTTCAGCACTCCCCACGGGGCTGCACCGTGCCGGCAGAGCCGGTTCTGTGGTGAGAGGGTGACGTTCAGCCACATCCCTTGTTGAACCTCGTGCCCTGGTGTCATCGGGCGCCCTGGGCCAAGGACCAAATTCCCCTCCGAGCCAGAGAGCGGCACACAGGCTCTAAGGGCGAGGCTGGGGCAGGAGAGAGAAGGGGAGACCTGGTGAGGTGGCATCACCCAGAGCCAGGTCCGTGCCCTCAGCTGTCCCCTCTGCAGCGGTGACCTTCTGCTGCGGGCAGAGGTTGCCACAAGGCCCGGTTGGCACCGCCACGGCAGGCAGGGCCGGGACTGGCTGCGGGCCAGGGACGTCAGCTGCTCAGGATGGGACTGCGGAGAGCTGCCGGCGGGTTTGCGGGTGGCTCTGGCCTCCTGACCCTCTGTACACCCGGGGTGGTTAATGGGGCGGCACCGCTCCAGCCCTGCCCCTCACCAGCCTGCCCTTCCCGGGAGCCAGCACAGCAAAGCACAGCCACTCACTGCAGCTGCACCTTTACCCTGTGGGATGATAAACTGAGGCACAGAGTGATGGTGTGGGCAGGGACAAACACCGGCACCCTCACCTGCTGGCTGCAAAGCCCTCCGCAGGGTGGCTTGTAGAGGCAGGAGGTGGCTGGGGAATAAGGGATGAGAGGAGGCACTGAGCCAGCCCTGCTGTGCCCTGGCTCTGTCGGGAGTGGGTGCTGCTGGCACTGCCCTCAGGGGCTGGGTAATGGGGCAGAACCAATGGCAGCGCCGGGGCTGCAACATGCGCCTGTTTCCGGCTCCTGGCACGGCCGCAGGCACCCAAGTCTGTTTTACGATCGGGACATTTGCTTGGGAAAGGGAGAGGGGAAAAAAGGCACGGCAGTGGAAAATAGCAGGTGTGCCCATCAAAGGAAACCTATGCCAGTGTGGCTGACCCAGCCTGCCCCGGCGTGGTGCTGTCCCAGAGCCACCTTTGCCACCCGTCAGCCAGCCCTGGCTGTGTTCACGTGCAGACCACAGGGCTGTGGTTTGGGGCTATGCCCCACGGACATCCCATGGCAGCAGGCTGGCACCCACATCACAGCAGTGTGTGGGCACTGGGGTGGGGACCCTTCCTTAGCAGTGGCAGTCAGGGCTTTCCAGAGTGCACATGCCTGGCAGCAGCCACTGGATCCTCCCTTGGTCCCCCCCTTCCAGGGCCTGGTGTGGGAGGGGGAGGCAGGAATTCCCTTCCACAGCAGTGATGCTCCACTCTCCCAGCTCCCCAACCTGCTTCCTTGCCCCAGGGATCAGGGAGGTGGGCACAGGGGGTCCCACACCAGGGCAGGGTGCTGCTGGCACTGCAGGTGCAACTGTTTCTGTCATGGAAGGGACACTGGGAAAAGGGCATGGTAAGGGATATGAGAGCACTGGCTGCCAAGGGAAAGAGGTTCCTGTCCTGCTCCCAGGGAAGCAGAAAAAAATGCCCCAGCACTTTTCCTCGTGGTTTGGTGGATGTCAGTGGGACAGAGACGCAGGGAAGCAAAGGGCAAGTCAGACCCTGGGCTGGGGCAGACCAGCCTCCACCAGGGGGGAATGGAAACAAAGTGGGAGACACGGCAGGCACAGCCTGACCAGATCTTGGAAGGAAACCTGAGTGGAAAATTACCAGGCTGCTCCCCTGCACACCCGAGCCGGGCTGTGTGTGACTCCTGCTCCCGACCCGGGCAAGGGCCCTGGGGCTGCTGCAGCACTGAGGGGTACCTGGGATATGGAGTGCCTGTGACCCTGGGTGACCCTGCCCAGAGCAGTGCTGCCACGGGGAAACTGCTGCTGCCACAGGGGCTGGGGCACAGAGCCCTGAGATGGCAGCAATGGATCATGCCAGGGGACTGGCATCACTGGGCACCAGTGAGCAACCTGACTGGGCACCGAGTCACTGTGGCAGAGCCAGCACCACCCAACCAGCCATCCCAGCAGGGCGAGTGCCCAGCCTGGTCATGTCACCTTCCCTCACCGGGATGAGGCAGCAGAAAGCCCCTCCTCGGGCCGGGGCCATCACCCACGGGTCACACACGCACGCAGAAAGGTGCAGCGGGCACAGTCCTGCCAGGACGTGGGCACCCTCAGCCACGGGGTGAGAGGTTTGTTCCCAGCAGTGTGTCCGGTGAGCACAGCCCTCCGAGGACACCCTCCTGGCGGCACACGGGCTGCCTCAGCAGCTCCAGCCCGGCACTGCTGCGCCAGCAAGGGCATCTCGGAGGGACAGGCGCAGAGACTGAGGCCCGGGACAGCACAGCACATGGAGATTCCCCGGGAGAGCACCAGCGCTCAGGCTCCCCGGGTGAGCACAACCACGGACCGTGTACCCACATCCCAAC